CTTTGCGCAATTTTAAGGGGCATTCTTTGGAATTGACCTAGGCTGTCAGATGCGCCTTAGTGAACACCCATCAACCTTGGTCGTCCATCTATGAAATGCCTGAATGCTGACCACATCCGGTCGTGCTTCTCTAATATGCATGAACGCTCATCGGCATTCGCTGAATTGATTGAATGATTGACTAGCCTGGATGCTTGCCGCGCTTTCCATTCGGATTTTGGTGGAGCTTTATAGTCTGTGTAGGTTCCGGGTATCTTAAGGTTATTTTCAAGTACTGAGCCTTTAAAAACGAATACTCTCATTTGCTTCTTAACTTCGTTTTAACGGGGACTCAAATGAACCCAGATAAATTTCTCGTGTGTACTGGTCTCTTCCAAATGGATTGTAAATTAAATACATTCAAGCATTCCACCCAATGGTGGTTTGGTTCACTCCTCTCGGTGTGCAAATTATTGGTGTTTGCTTCCCAAAATAAGGTACGTAAACGTTTTAGCACCAAAGATTTGCCAGAACACCACATGCAAGACTATGATATTCTCGTGTGACTGGTCTCTTCCAAATGGATTGTAAATTAAATACATTCAAGCATTCCACCCAATGGTGGTTTGGTTCACTCCTCTCGGTGTGCAAATTATTGGTGTTTGCTTCCCAAAATAAGGTACGTAAACGTTTTAGCACCAAAGATTTGCCAGAACACCACATGCAAGACTATGATATTTTGGCCCAATCGAAATTTTCTGGATAAGCGAAATGTGAATAACCAATTCGTGTCCGTAGGCTGAAAGTTAACTCACGTGAGTAACCCCCTTCGGTAATCAAAATAGGAGACTAAGTGTTGAGCATGACGCAAAGAACTTGACATCTCATATTTTGTCCAAGGATGGCTAGAACATCGTATGCAGGTGCATGACATTTGCCCCAATCGGAATTTCATGAACAAGTAAAATATGAATTGACATTTTGTATCCTTAAACTTCAGGTTGATCACCGTGAATGGAGACGTTCGTTACACAAAACCTACGAAACGTAACATTGAGCAAGACGCAAGGAACTCAGCATGTCATGTTTCGCCCGGATTAGTCGTGCTACGAAAATGACAGAAGCAAGTTACACCCCACTCTTTCAGTTAACTCCCACGTTTTCACATCCACAACGAAAACCAAAACAACCATCAGATGCCCCATTGGAGTGAAAACGTTGTCACTACAGAGATTAGGGTGCTCCTTGGTTAGGACACGAATTTTTGTCCGCGGTTCGAGCCCAACCCTGACATCTGCACATTAACTTCGTTTTAACGGGGGACTCGACTGAACCCAGATTAATCTCTCGTGTATATTGGTCTCTCCAACTATACTGCAACTTGAACTATATCTCAGAATTTTGTCCAAATATGAGTTGGGTCACCTCTCTTCATTTGCAAATCGGTCGTGGTGTTGTTTGTGTACTAAGGATAAGTTACCTAGAGTTTACAACACAGGAAGAGAGTGATGTGTCTGACTGATTGACGAGAAGCGGTACCGCTGAGACGAAGAGTGAACGAAACTGAATGCAAACCGTGCGTGATGACCGTGAGAACAGTGGTTGTATGGCAACTGAAAATTGACGGATTGTCAATGCACTCAATGCGCCTAGGCGACAGGTCTCTTCAGCATAAACATAGAGCAGACAATCTTGGGGGCAGATTTTTTCACGAGCGCAGATTCCGTGGGGAAAAGGGGCGACAAAATAAGGTGCAGTCAAGCTTAAAGGTTACACAAGCACTGCCGTGAGCGAGCTGCATGTACGAAAGCGTCCGCCTTGTAATGTGCCATCAGTACGTTCCGTGGTCGAGGAATATTCCGAACTGTCCACGGGTGATCAAGATGCGTTTGCGAAAGAATATTAAGTGATCGTCTGGGCCATGGATAAGTGGAGGTCTTGCGTACTTGGACAAAGATTTCTTGTCGAAACCGATCACTACTCCCTAGAATGGACCCAGATCACTAGAGATCCGCTCGGGAGGCTTGTTTGCTGGGCGCCATGGTTGCAAGTTTACGAATTCACGAAACGGCACGTGCCACGGAAGTAGAACCACCTGGTTGTTTGGCTGTCAAGACCAGAGATTGAAGATGAGGCCTTCAGGATCATAATTTGTGCCAGCACACTCGTCGTCGAATTGGATCCCGGAAGCCTGGTACAACTTCAACGGCAGGATCCCGTTTTACGGAAGGTCGACCACAAATAACAATTAGCCCTGTTCGGATCCTAGAAAGACATCCCTGTCTATTATACTAACGGACTTCAAAGATGATCTACATTGTTACTCGGTTACAAATTTAGCATCAAGTTCAAATCCACCGACAAAACTGGTTAAGCGGATGCCTTGTTAAGACTTTAGAAAACAAACCAGCAGGCAAAGAAGATTCAGTTATAGCTCGGATCTTATTTGAACTAAAGTACACTGATGGAAGTAGTCAAATATAATCAAATCACATTCGCAATGATACTCAAAGCAATCATTGGTGATGATTGCTCATTGTTCGCAGGACGCGCTGTGGTATCAGAGGAGAAGTGACAGCTTGTTTTGCAGCAGTTCCATAAAGAGGACGCCTGCAGAAATCATTCATCTGAAGCTGTTTTTATCGAACTCATATTAACATCTCTGGTTGCCCACAAGTCTACAGCGAAACAAAAATTCCAGAGCGATGATGGAAACAAATTTTATGCCTGTATGCTGTATGAAGTCTAGGTAATACAAGCTCTTTATTTTTGTATGCCCGATTCTCTTCAATTACATTCAGAGGGAATGAATATCCAATAAATCCGGTTTAGGGTGGGTTAGATTTCTGAAACATTACAGAATGCCCGAAACCTTCCGAGACCTTCAAAAAACACCGAAATCGCAATAGCGGGGACGTCAGAAAAGTCAGCAAAGCCAGTTGCTGATTGCAAGATGAAGTAATCAATTAGACCAGCGTCTTGGAACTTATGATGTTGAGCATCGGGTTCATTTACCCACCGTCTACATTCTAACTGTTTCGTACTAAAGTGATGGACCCCGAAGAAAGTTAGATAGATGAACACTCTGATGGATCAGGTAATCCCACTGAGATGGTATTTTGATGATCGACTACTTTTTATTAGTACTACTCGTACTTCACCGTTACATGTCAAAAAATGCATGAATTCGGAAGCCAGGAGCATCAAAACCCAGTTCATACTCGATGGCTGGAATCAGGGAATGTGATGCATGCCAAAACTTACACGCTGGGCTTCAACAGGATCCAGGTAAAATTTGTGGCAAGAACTGCTGATCAGTAGTGTGATAATCTCTACGTTAGACTGGATGTAGCGGCAATCATCCTACAATCAAGGAAGCCAAATTTCTTAATCACGTGTTGACGGGCTCCTCAAATGACGACTTCGCAAAAGGAAGTTTCAATCATCTTATGAAACTATTCTTCCTCCAATCTACTTATAGATTGATGGTAATATGAAGATGTTGGGTCAGTTGCAGTAGAGATTTCGCCCAATCAGTAAAGACAGAGGAAGCCGAAAGCGCTCACAACTATCGCATCCAACGAATCTCCAGGAGGTGTCAACAACAGACCAACAAATTTGCTTGGCTGCGAATGTGTATGCCGACACCCGGTGTGTAGATCCCAGCTCTACGTATTTCAACCCTCAGCAGTTGAAAATATGTTTGTTGACAAATGTTTTAAGTACCGTATACACTTGCATTATTGAACGTAGACAATACTTATCGTAGCTGCCAAAATATGGCAACATTAAGAACCACGTTGTGTGGCAAGTCCGGTTGTCCTTTTGGCTGTGAAATCCATGGTCGTTGGATTGTGTTTTGAAAATTATAAGAATGCGACCAAGGTGGAGTTATACCACTAATGTGAACGTAAACTAATGATCAATAATTGCGAGACGGAAGTACACTTTTATCCAAAGGAACGATTGTGATTCTCTTGCTGTTAACCTGGCCTCTCCTGGTGTACCCCAGTTATGCAAATGAACAGGTAACCGACCTTACAAAACACCTATGGAGGAATGACATTCAGTATAAGCTCGCTTCTCAGAAACCCATAGATTTTGCACGCACAACCAAGTCTCTGAGAAATGAGGCACGTCAAGATTTGTGGGCTGTCTATCAAGTGTCTTCCGACCAGTTTGCTTCGCCTGACAGTTAGGTTAAAACGTTTCACTGTCACCAGCATTGGAAATATTGACACCGCGGTGGGCCAATGCCTAATGAAATATTAGAAATCCAACTGTCGGGTTTGATGGGCAAATCAGGAACCACTTGACAAATAAACTGTATAGTCACCCGAGTTGGTAATGTATCGACATATTTGACCGGTCAAATAAAATGCATTCGGCAGTTGCTTGTTACGACGTGTGCTCTGTCCAATTCAATTTTCGAAGCGGCAATCATTTAAGTTCAACGGTCCAATTTTCGGAGCACTGCAGTAGAAAATAATCTGCTGAAATTTACAGTGATTAAATGATAGTTTTAATATTGGGAGCATCTCAATAGTAATATTTCAGCCGCAGAACCGTTTTGGTATGCAGCGACCATACTGCCCGAGAGAAGTACACGGGCTGAACAGTCAGCGCACCCCCAAGCCTAGATACGACCATTCGAGATGCCGAGGCTATATTCGAAACACTGTCAGTAATATGGAGCCTTAACCAGTGAATCAGCCACAAGCTGAATTGAACTTCCGAAAGCAATTTTCTACGGATGAGCTGAAGTCAACCTTCTTTCGCAGGTTTCGTTTGCTAGGTGAAAATTCTGCTGCAAGTCCAAAACCACACATATTGTCAATATTTTTGCTGATGTTTTGATTCTGGAGAAACGTATTGCGTATTTCTTTCACATTTTGCCCATATCCACTAGACTTGTTTATGCCATACGTTTCTAACTAGTATTTGACATTCAACGGAGGTTCAACCACATTTTAACCCTGAGATATTGTGCCCAACACAACACAGCTAATTACGCTTCGTCGTTATGGCATGTCATCATAATCACCCCCTTTGTCATCATCATCATCATCATCCTCATACTCGTCATCATCGTCCACGACAGCATAACACCAATGTTGAACACTGGTGGCCTGAGTTTAATGCTTCGAAAAAACTCTGCCTATTTCTAAAATAATACGCAAATATTTTGTATGTTCAAACCAGAGTTTCAAGAAAATATGGGTGTGTATCTTCGAAGTCCGTCGCGAATACATCTCATCCGCATAATAGGTTCCTCAGTGGTATTCATTTTTGTAATTTTGGCCACCTCTCTAAAAGAAAGCCTTGTCATTAGACGAGGATTTATCCTACTTTGAGTATGATGAAAGCTTGCGTGTTTGATGCGCTGGGTATCGAAAGATCAGCTGAAGCACTACAAACTGCTTACGCTGTCTAAGTAGGTGAATAAGGGGATCAATCTGAATTTTCAGTCGTGGACACTGCCAACTCTAACCTAGTTTGTTTCGATATTTTCAGATCCACATTATTGATTGCAACGAGATTGATTGTCGCAATGCCATTTCGGTACGAATTCACTTCATGTGGCATTGGTCGAGTATCCCAATTTCTGTCAGAGTTTTGAGCTGCGAAAATCGGCTGTGTTCTGTAACTGGATACCCGCGATATACTATGTTTGGTCAGTGAGGGAACACATAAGTCCACGCTACATTTGTTGCCGCTGTCATTTTGTCAATAAATATTTAAGCGTGGTTCTGCGTCTTTGTACGCAAAGAGGTCTGATTTTCAAGGGTATCATCCGTCCTACGGACTCCACTGATAGTGTGCGCCTGTTGTCGCTTTTAGGGCAAACATCATCATCAAACATCGACTGAATAAGAACAAGATCACTTGTGAAGTCGTGCTGCTTTTCTTTGCATCGGACTCGTCTTAAATGGCGTTAGCACATTACGTCGCTTTACATCGTCTGACATCATCCTCTGTCTCCTGCCCCATATATTATGCAGCCGTCCGGCCGTGGAACGGTAGGCACAGTTGGGTGACGTGCTGAAATATGATGCTGACGTGAATTGCATTCCTTTGTGACAAGGGACAATTTTTTGTTTGGTGACAGGTCTTGTTCCAACCAAAGTCCACATTTATGCTATCAGCATCCATTTATAAAACTCAAATTTGAAGGGCTTATCCTTCAATCATACACTCACTCAATTAATGATTTATTTATTTACTTTTTGTCAGAAGATACTGGGTGCTACGCTAAGATTATGGAAGCACAATGAGGGTGAGCACAATTCTGCATAGCCAGATCCCAGATACAGATGTACAATGCTTGCTGCATTCACTTATGGGATGAAATTTTGATTAAAATTTGCTGACAAATTCTCACTCTCAGAACCAAAGCTAATATTAACTGGTGTCTATGAATCCACCACAGCACAGTTAGAAAACGAGTGCTCGAGTGTGCAACAGATACTTCAATCGAGGAACGTTTCATGGTAAGAAAGGGACTTCGAGAAGACTGTGCATGTCGGTGTGAATCTCCTTCCAGTATAAAGCATTTCACCTCTCACCACCGCATTCAGGTGACGTATCTCGTTGCAAGCAAATTGTGGATCTGACAATACTGAACTAATTGGGGTGATCTTGTTGACCTTCGAGGTTGGATATTCAAATTGATCCCCTTGCTGACCTACTCAAACATGGTAAGTAGTCTATAGTGAGTCAGCTGTTGATTCGATATCTAAGAGTTACCATTCTTTACAAAAGAATAAATCGGCGTCCAGAGGCAAGGCCTTCTCGAATGAACTTAGAGTTCCTTTGGAAAGATGGTCTTAAATGTCTCAAATGGATACCACCAAGCAGCCCGACAACTGGTTGAGCGGTATCCACGAGCAATCCCTGTTCGTACACCCAAAATGTCCCCGAACCACCCGTTGAATCCGTTGTACAAATATTCAGTGATTGACGGTATTTGTTCGAAGACTCAGATCATCTCAACCCGGTTGCAGTCTTTTTTTATTTTTTGAGACTGACCCAAGAATGAGTTTCTTTGTTGAATCAGCATGATATGGCTGCTAGTCAATCTCACTGGCTTTCCTGTTTCCGGTTTCCATTCTGACTGCCTGAATGAGTGTCTCGAAGTTTTGGCATCCTTAAATGATAGTGTTAGGCGTCTACATAAAAACTGACTGTACGGCAGCGAAGCACCAGCAGCAAACACTGGTGTCACGCTGACATGGATAATGATGATCAAGATGATGTTGATGATGAGGATGACGATGATGATGATCCTGGCGACGATGTTGATCGTGATGATGATGATGCGGGAATACTGAATTAATTGATTTCCCAACTTTCTCAGATCAAGGGCCCGGTAAACCAAGATGGCGTCACTTGGGATTTTGCAACTATATACAGCTATATCGGATTTAGAGGTGGAACCATGAGCAAAGAACAATATTCATAATTAGTAAGTCGTCCTTTGTTGTTTTTAACAGATCATGTTTGTAGTGTGTAACCGAGTCCGAGAACCAAATTTTATTTAGTTAGGATCATCAATCAAGCTCATTAAGTGCTGTTGATTTGGATAATAGGTCTATGGATATTTGGGAAGTCTACAAGTCATGCTGGAAGAAGCTTGTGTTATTTTGTACCTTTATTTTGCTTCCGTTATAACATTACGTATTTTGTCAGTGGCATAAACGTGTTTTGTTTCAATAGAAAAAACTGCAAAAATGCGCACTTTTACAACTTCCCGCAGGACAAACTTGGTCATGGGCTCTGATTGCCTGTTCTGATTTCTTTGGCGCTTACAGCGGTCATCCGTGAGTCTCACGTACTAACTCTGGTAGCAAAACACGTCAGATTATCTTCTGAATCTATTACGTGTGGGAACAGTTCAGAAGAGGACCCTGGGCAACCATGATTGGATTATTGTTTACTCGCTTACCTGGGCCAAGGAGGAACTATTTTAAAGGGAACAATTATTGGAATGTCTGTTCCATCTGACCCCTTTATTATTGTACACTCAATCTAGCGTTATTATTTTATTAACTAAATGATTGGGTAAAAAGAACACTACAAGCTCAATGGCTTCGTTAAACCACTCACTGGATAATGTCTTCTTGATAGATGTGTGGATCGGCAGTAACTGGATGCGATAACCCAGCATTTACCAAGGCCCACGGATAGCCAAAGTCTGAGGAAGTCGCCTGTTACGAGGCAGCATTCAGTCAGATCCAAGACCATTGTGTCACGATCCAAAACTGGTTAGTTTTACGCAATTTAAATGACAGTTTTGTATTGCCCGTTCACATGCATTTCTCCTATCATATGCGGAGCTTCTAGGCAGCTTGTACAAACATCTAGCACATGCGTAAAAGCTAAAGTCCGCTTTAAAATCGACATTTGATAAGATTAGACCATTATGTTATGGAGGTGATTGTTATCGATGTTTATGCATTTTCGGTATTCAGTGTTGATACTAATCACACTCAAACCCTCTTCAGAAGTGGTTTTAAACCCGTTGACAGTATCCACAACTATACTATCGTGGATGCTGTCCCATATTGGCTGATTTTCTGAGAAATATTTGGGATCTTCTTGGAGGATTCTTCTTGGAATTGAGGGCTGTTTATGCCCAACAGCTGACAATAATTGTTAGGCAGTCTCAACATTACTGCGAATCATCACGAAACTGCGGGTAGTTTCTAACCAAACCTGTAACGGCCCGGCTATTGGTTTCATCACCTAACCGTTTGGCTGGTCATCAATATGATTGACTCGCGCTGACGCAGGACTAAGAGCCACGGAAACTGGAACTCTCTCATGCACCTTGTTTTTGAAAAACACAATATCCGTTTTCTGCTCGAACGCGTCCTCTTTACGTTCCCTGCATATTCACTGATTATCATGCAATTGTAAATGAATGCTATAATGCATTTCCACAAATTCTGTAATAAATCAGCTTCCATTAGATGAAAGCGGAGTTACAAGAAAACCACATATTATTCGCATTCCCCTATCAGCAGTATCCACCGTTACACACCTTCCCCGTTTAAGTATCGCCTGCATATCACCGATTTCCATTTACCTCCGTCAGCCCCAGTGGCTAGTTTTTTCGGCAGCTCTTCGGGTGTATTATGCCAATCCCCAAGCTGAGTCCATCTTACTATTTCTGATCCCTTATCGTCTTGCATTGTTAGGGAGTTCGCACAGCTTCCGCTGAGCAGTGCACTGACGATAACACCTCGATTGAGGATGAAACGTTTGCAGTTCAACTGCCAAGCTCGGCAAAAAAACCAACAAAATGACTTTGAATATCAGGTTAGTTTACGATTTGTTTGGATTCCGTGATCACGGCCAACGAGGACTGACTTGATCTGTACCGTATTCCACATAGTGCCGATGTGAGGACTCTAATTGTATGGTGGTAATTTTCTGGCAACGGGAACTAGAGTGATTGGCCAAGCCATAGAGTGTTCTCATTCGTGATTCCTGAAAATCCAGAAGTGCCTTGGTAAATTTTCCCAATTCTAAGTTGTTGTGAGAGTTTAAAAGTGTGTTTATCGCTGCAAGCCCTATTCGGTTACTCTGAGAAATTTATCAGACACTGGAGATATCGTCCGATTCCTCCTCTGGCACGATCATCCGTTATTGGTCACATAGAATCACAACAAGAAAAGGTACCAGGACGAGAATCCATTGTCCTTGGGTTGCTTATCGCTAGTGTCTTCTATTCACTAAAACTAATTCGGAAATAGCGAATGACGATGTATTTCGTGCTATGTCATACAGTCATCTCCACTGTAGGATTGTTTGTAAACTGTTGTCCTAATTTAACACAAAAAATTCCATCGCAGTCTGTGGGTTGACAGATTTTTTACCCGCGGAATGACTGTCCACTACGGAATGATTTTGCACGTTGTTGTCAAGGAAGACATCTGTGGGACACGTTAATCAGCTGTCACACCGTATCCGCTCGGTGGCGTTGATTCGTCTTCGGTTTATCCTTCTGCAATTTCCTATCAACTTTGTTTTAATTTAACACCAACTTGCACGCCTATCCAAAGAAACCCCGAAGGGAGGGACCGGTAGTGAGCTGTTGAAGATTATTCAGCGAACTTATGAGTAACAATACAATATCATGTTGCCAGTGTCCTAAGAAAACAATTGCGAATGGAGAAGATTCCAAATAACCAGTCTGATTTTTGGACAAATAAACACTATCCCGACGACTTCACCTAAGCATTCGATGAAGATTGCAACATGAGAACTCATTCAAAGTCGACAGGAATAATTTTGACTATGCGTCTTTAGTCCACTCTAGTTAGAGTGAACAGGAGAAATACTGGAATTTGAGCAGTGTGTGTGAGTCGACAGATGACCCGAAAACTGTCCTAACTGCCGATTATTAGCCGGCCTAGCATTAGTCGTTCCGTGAATATATCGTGCAATACTGCATGAGACTTCTGAAAGCGTCTTGATGAGTTCACAGGACCTGAGAATCCGGACAGTTTTACTCGAATTGCTTCGGTTTATACCGAACGATTTCCTAACCACCACTTTGACGGAAAAATACAACCCATGTTATGTTACAGTAGCGCAACACAATACGGACCAGTTGCAATTCATTTTATTTTTGACACTTCACACAACAGTGCATGTTCTTTAGGAGCAGACGGTGTGGACAGACTCGATGAGGGTTTCGGCCTCGTATCCGGCTCTGCACAACTCCATTAGACGAGCTGATTGCCGAGCTACCTCTGGGACCTGAGGACAGAAAGAAGCCAGGATCTTAGCTAGGAAATCAATCTAGCGAACTAAAAATTCACCACACATACGACGGACCGGGGATCATACATGTTTAAAACAGGTTTGAACCAATGTCCAAGAATGCTACCAAAGGAACAGGAATGTGTGTTCACAGAAGATTCATCCTAACGTACACAAAAAAATTCAGCATTCCCGAGAAAAAGTGCCAACTATGCTATAGACTGGGGAAGGTTGTCAGTGAGACACACTGAAGGTCGAGCGGAAACTGGGTCCCAGATTGGAAAAAGTTACTTATTCGAGGTGTTGAAGAGTATCAGCATATCAGAATTTCGGATATTTCGAAGCACCTTGATAAAAACTCTTTCACTGCTAGTGGAAAATGCGCAGATGAATGAAACTGTGTGAATTCCACGAAGCAAAATATGTAGTACCACTATGACCGGTTTGGCTCACTCTAGTTATGGCTGCTACTCTTGCTCTGGAGATAATGTGGTATTTGAAATGGTGACGAACGTCCATGTTAAGATAAGATCCCGGTTGCAACAGCTGTCAATCGTGAATGTAAAGGAAGCGAAAACTATCGAGACGGTTTTAGGAAATCTATAATTAGTCTGACAACCTAGCTTGTTGATAATACAAGAAATTCATAAAAGTTAGTCATCCAGACAGGGAAGCTTTTGGGCTCTTCTGGGTTCACCTGTGCCTTTCGGTGATCTTCCTCAGTACGGAAAATTTTTTACGCGTTACATCAAAAGGTCTTCGAAAACTTGGAACCACGGCACATATAAAAATGATACAGAAATATTAACATGAACTTGAGCTTTTCCTTCCAGCGTTTTATCACAGCTTTCTATTTTCGGACGTCCATTTGTTCGGTAGATGTTCTTCAAATTCGCACAATTTGAATAACAATACCAATAATTTAAGCCAGGATTGCTGGCTAAATGTAGCGACAATACACTCTTCAGCAGTATTGTACACACGGACCCTTCGGCAAGACTGTCCTGTGTCACTCCGGAAAAAATAAACACCCTGTCGTGATGGTAGGTTTATGAGGTCTGGGGCCTCCGTCATGCCAGGAAGGGCAAGACAGCCTGCTAGACCATCTGAACAACTGAACCTAACCAAAATGAACTGAACCTAACTGAACTGAACTGAACTGAACTGAACCGAACTGAACTGAACTGAACTGAACTGAAATGAACTGAACTGAACTGAACTGAACCAAAAACGTATTGGCTGACGCAGTCTACCACTTGAAAGAACTACTGGGACTGAACTAGCTTTTATAATATATTTTATCTGAACTGAACTGAACTGAACTGAACTGAACTGAACTGAACTGAACTGAACTGAACTGAACTGAACTGAACTGAACTGAACTGAACTGAACTGAACTGAACTGAACTGAACTGAACTGAACTGAACTGAACTGAACTGAACTGAACTGAACTGAACTGAACTGAACTGAACTGAACTGAACTGAACTGAACTGAACTGAACTGAACTGAACTGAACTGAACTGAACTGAACTGAACTGAACTGAACTGAACTGAACTGAACTGAACTGAACTGAACTGAACTGAACTGAACTGAACTGAACTGAACTGAACTGAACTGAACTGAACTGAACTGAACTGAACTGAACTGAACTGAACTGAACTGAACTGAACTGAACTGAATTGCACTGAACTGAACTGAACTGAATTGAACCGAACTGAACTGAACTAAACTGAACTGAACTGTAGTCAGACAACTTCATTTAGCTGCTTTCAGTGTTCGCATATTCACATTTTCAATCCAAGGAATTGGAGATCTTATTCCAGGACACTTCGAATTGTTGAATATTCTTATTCAACTACATCACCCTCCGCCTTCCATGATTCACCCTGGTGATAGCGCGTATAGACAGAAAGTCACTTCAGAAAATAAGCCACAAACTTTTGAACACCATGTTTCGGAATGATAGTCAAATATCAAGAAAAGAACGAGAATGCTCGTTATGTGGGTACCAGATTTGCCCCAAAATTGCCTACAGAAATGCTCGTTTGCTGGGCGCTTACCTGGGAGTAGTTTTGGGTGTGATGCTCGTCTTAGGTGACGCCAAGGGTGATTGCACTGTCACATGAGGTATACATATTTTTGTACGCTTGTTTGCGTGCACCACGTGTTCAACTCACCTGCTGAATTGTGAAGCAGTGCGTCCGGAAGTGATCGAATACTGCCTTGAAACACATGAGCTCATTCCTCGTGGACAAGCCTTTTACCGTTGGCTTATGGTGGGATGTCACATCCATGACGATGTCGTGAAATGTTTCCTTGACAATGTGGCCAAGCTGGAAAAAGCGAGAGGAATAGTTGTGGGAGATATTCGACGGACTATGAAAGATTTATCGCACAACTAAATAGACCACGTTCGATTTCCGAATGGTTTCATAGAAAACGGCCGCTAAAATTCTAAATTGATTACCATTTACCTGCTCCCATGCATCCTTAACACGTATTCTCTACTACATAAATGAATTCTTACCTAGAGCGATCTTTCTATCATGCATTCAGTTCCATTATTTGGATGAATTTTGTAAGAAAAGAAACTACAAACCTGAAGTGCACGGTGTAGTTTTCGCCAAGCAGCTTCGTGTTCTTCCACGGTTGTGGCCTCCATCAGGCGTCGAGACATTGAGATCAAATGTACCCAAGAAGATGGTTTACTATCTAAAACAGTCAGCTGGAACGAAGAAAACAACTGGGCTACATTTACTGTTAACAGGAGCTCTATCAATACTGAGTGGGTAATGGTCTTCCTAAACTACTCACTATTGAAGAGACACATCAGTCTATCTATCTGTCTATCTATCTATCTATCTATCTATCTATCTATCTATCTATCTATCTATCTATCTATCTATCTATCTATCTATCTATCTATCTATCTATCTATCTATCTATCTATCTATCTATCTATCTATCTATCTATCTATCTATCTATCTATCTATCTATCTATCTATCTATCTATCTATCTATCTATCTATCTATCTATCTATCTATCTATCTATCTATCTATCTATCTATCTATCTATCTATCTATCTATCTATCTATCTATCTATCTATCTATCTATCTATCTATCTATCTATCTATCTATCTATCTATCTATCTATCTATCTATCTATCTATCTATCTATCTATCTATCTATCTATCTATCTATCTATCTATCTATCTATCTATCTATCTATCTATCTATCTATCTATCTATCTATCTATCTATCTATCTATCTATCTATCTATCTATCTATCTATCTATCTATCTATCTAATCTATCTATCTATCTATATATCTATCTCTGTATCTATCTAACAATTTTTCTCCCCCTCTCTCTATCTATACATCAGCCTACCTGTCAAGATGTCCCTCTTTATGTCCATTTGATTATCAATATGTGTATCTGGCGTTTTTTCTGCCAATTCATCTGTCTGCTTTTCTTTCTTCGTGTCGATCGGTTTGTGATTATGTATACAATTATGTACGTGTGTGTGGATATAAGTGTGTATGCATGCATGTATATATGTATGTATGTATGTGTTTTTATGCATATATGTACGTATGTATGTATGTATGTATGTGTGAATATATGTATACATGTATGTATGTATGGATGCATCTATATATGTATGTATGTACGTTTGTATACGTTATTCTATCAGAGAAGCTGATAATTATCTGACAGACCGGGTGATGCAGAGTTCAGATTTGTGCCCCAATCACCCTTGTTCTCACTATCGAGAGAGAGGTAGTCCTCCTGTAGCCGAAAGTAGCATCATGTCTCAAGTACCCGTTTTTCTAAACTAAACGGACAAAATTGAACTATGCTGAATCCCTTAGGTCATTAGCAGTAACATCGGTTCATTATATGAAGCAGAGAGCCCGACCAATTCGTTAATTGTGGGAAAAGTTAGGTGCCTTCGCTTAACAGGCGGGCCGGTGGCGATATCGCCCCTAATGTTGGAAAGTGTGTCTGTCACTGAAGTAATCAACATAATCGATTTCAAAGCAACCCAACTTATTGGATTGTCATCGGACTGTGGAGTGGTCACTTGGTTCCTAAACAAATATTGGCGGAAATAATGACTGTTCCAGCGGACATTTCAAAATATCGAAAATTGCGCTGAACACATACTGCTATGGCCAGATCACTCCGGTGCGTCAGTAGATCATAGTGACTTTGAAACTTTCCAACTGACAGACTTCCCATCGTCTGAAATGAACAATAAACACACACTTATCAGTGTCAGCTGTTGTTCTATACAAGAGGAAGTGGTCTAGAATGCAACGGTAGTGCTAAACTTAGGTCCCACGTGCTCGTGGTAAAGGAACCGATTGATCAACAAACATATCTTCCGAAAATTGTTTCACAAACATTAGTGTGCAGCAGTGATGTTCACTGAATCACTAATATGTTCACATCATATGTTCATATCATATGGTTCTGGTCCATGAGGAAATTCAAAATTACACTGCCTAAATACCTGCGGATCAAACCGAAGCGCACATTTCGGTTGTGCGCTTGATGGTACTTTCTAGTTCAGGAAGCAGTGAACGTTCTTGTGTTTGCTGCTTGTCAGCTACTAAAACTTGCATAAGTTAATTCAATGTTCAAAGCATGCTTTCCGACATCTTGGGATTACGTAATGAAAGAATTCATATCATAGCTGTTTTTTATCAAAGCAATTCTTGTAACCAAGCAAAATATTTGGTAGAAAATACAAATCCGGCATCACATTGTATAGTATAAACTTGAATCCAACCAAAATGAGTCCGTTACGTGCTTATATAGATCGCTTGTACCCGTGTTAATGTGCACTTTCCCTTTTTGTCGCCTAGCAGAACTTTCTCATTCGATTAGTTATTTGACCCCTATTGTTAAATCACGGGAAACCAAATCACGTGGCCAGATATTGACTGACTCCTCGAGTGTTAACTTCTCAGATGGAAGTTTCAATCATCGTGTAAATTTATTTTTCCCCTGAGTTACTTGTGGATGCTTCAAATTGATTTGGGTTCCTTCTGTACCACCGCACACAAATGTATCAAGCACAAGGTACTCAATGCCATTTCATGGTTGTCCAAAAGATGACACTGGCTCGGCTTGGGTATCTAAATACCTGGACTAGCTGACTAGCTGAACTCCATCTATGAAACACGATTCCCTAATTAGCCATTTTCGACCATGACCGTCAACTTTCAAAGGTAACGAAATGCAACTGTCATCTCGACATATACACTCATTTTCATAAATGTTTCACAAGCGACTCAAATGAATATCTCCGTGACAGTTTGTGGCTCACCTCCTCACCGTATTTCATCACGTGACTATCTTTTGTCCTCTTTTTCACCTCCTTGTACTGTTGATCCAGTGTACGCGTTTTCAAGTCATTCTGCGCGTGGGTGGGAAATAATGGTAAAGGGATGCTACATTAAGCAGGCGGATTGGCTTACGCTACTTTAAGATGGATCGGAATGTAGGCAAACAAGCGAAACCACTCGGGTTAAGAACACCGAGTTATGGAGCGACACACACTACGATAAACCAGTGAAAACCCTACTGTTACAGACACCATAAATACACAAGACAGCTTTTTAATAGAATCCTTAATTCCATTCTGCCGTATCAAGTTCTGTCCACCCAACGTTTATGACAATCCGGACTGGGCATGGTAGCCAGTAATTACACATGCGTAACGCATGACCCAGCCAACCTTGCTCGCAAAGTTTGATGAATTTCTTGGAACAAAGTATCGTCCGCTAGGGCAATATTTGATTGCTACTCATTCGTTTTTAGGCAGGGTACGCGAGAAAATAGAAAGACTCGAATGGCGATAAGGTGACACCCGAATGAATATCTCTTCACGCGAATATTCCGCACACTGTGTTTTGTGCTTCATTGCGACAGAAGATGGCGTTCAGGAAGTCCAGAGACATCATCATCATCCTCAGCAAATCACCAGTGTTGGGCTCGGGTACTATTGCTTGAGTGTCATTTTTTTTCAGGTCCTTCTGTGTGCAGAACATTCTGCGCTCGTAACACATGGTCCAGCCAAATTTGCTATTAAAAAACTCACTAGCGGTGAGACAACGGAAGTATGGTACGACGCATACTACTGATGAATCACAGAGCACCACGCTGTGCCAGGATGCTATTCCCATACACATGTTAAGGATTTGAGGCTCTAGAGTAATCATCATCATCATAATCTTTTTTGTCAGCATCCGCGGTCAAGACTGACGCTTCCCTACGCGCATTCAAATTTCATCTTAAGATCTATTCAAAGAAAAGAATCAAAGTGGATGGAAATATGCATTAATACTGGTCTACCACAATTATGCGGACACATCTCTAGGCTCAAACACCAACTCAGGCATTCTGAATCGAGAGTGACACCAAGAACTCCACTAACATTGACACAAATGCATAATTTGCAGCTTCATTAACCAGTGGGATACAGGTGGGCTCCATCTTAGAGGGCGAGTTACACTGATAACACTCAAACTTTCGATAATCTCTTTCATGTATCTCGGCGAGGTCAGAGGCAAACCTGTTGACATCCAACTAATGGTTTTGTTATTTTGGGGCCGCCGGATGGTCGTGATTGCTAGATTTCCAAAAAATTGCGTCATGCTTGAACACACACTTGGCGGTGGCGATGTTGGTGGGAGTGGCGGCGTTGGCTGAGGTGTTAGCAGTGGTGGTTAGTGGTCATTTGTGAGCTGAAATGCCCATAATAGAATGATCACCAGTGTCACAAAAATCGCCGAAGCATTGAAGAACATTATTGCCAAGTACGGGGCTGGTCAGTGATACAACTTTGTTGAGCTCGATGCAAAGTATACTAATCCGAAAACGGAACACCCCACTATGTTGCTCCGCATGTTCTATCTGTATTCTGAGGTTCAGTTTTGGAATGAGTAGACTAGTTTATGTTGGCGGAACCGTCAAATATTCTGTTACCGCGGAAGACACATACTGCGAGGTATTCGTTTTCTGATTGACAGCTGGATAGGCACAAGCGTCGATGTGCAAGACAAGGGGGATACTGAGCAGTATACGTCTACATCGCGCGTGGGCAAGGGGTTCCAGAAGCCAAAAACAAAACCTTGGACCGAGTGTTCGTAGATGTCAGTAGTATTTGCCGACTCCCAGTGGCGCCAGACTCCACTCTCACCGAAATATTTACACTTAGTGAGACGGTATGTTCAGCTCACTGGGAATAAAATATGAGTGTTTGAGAGAATCAAATGGAATACCACTGGCTGCTGCCTACCACAAAACTATCTACCTAAACTGACAGGCTCATCTGCAACATTTTTGATAAAACTCACGTATTCTGAATCCGTAATCCAGGCATACGAGTATTCGGTCGCTAGACACACATCGATTTGCTTGTCATCACAATGCACAGCATAGCTGTCTTCATCTTCTTTGGCTGAAGTTGTCGCGTAGACTGTAGTTTGGGGGTACAGGCAAGAAAACAAATGGATCACTATCAAGGAAATGTGAAATTTTGGGTTATTTCATCGACTAACTGATACTGTGACTCGTAGAACTCGTAACGCTCCAAGACTTCGAAAACTAGCACACTAATCTGAATGTTGCCGTAAAATGTTTGACAGAACACCATGGTTTTCACGCTTCTTGGGGTTCTTCGAATTTCCCTCAATTATAATCACTACTTGAAATCAGATTGGACGGAGCTCGTCAAACGCGGTTGTGTCAGGCCGTCCAAATCACATCATTATATAGATATATAATATGATTTTGCAGAATAGATCCCTGACGAGGACGGTCAAAAGATGTTCACGTCACTCCTATTATACCTGTTGTTTGATCCGTGGAAGTGTACTTTACATAAAAGATTAACGCTCCATCCCTAATTTATAAATACGGTATACACATGGGAATGGTGGTTGCTGCAAAGGGACCTCAATCATCAGAGGTATTGCACCATTATTACCGTGACTACTTCTAACCGGCTGAAAGTAGCTCAGCAGCAGCAGTGATATTAATCGATGAAGGTAGGAAGTTGTTCACTATCCGCCTAAAATTATCTTGCAGATGGCCTGGGACTACCTCCATTCAAGGACGACATAAGGACAAGTATGAAACATATTCGGAACTTGGTTTCTTTGTACTGGCCAGTGCGGTAATTTAACTATACGTGAGGGAAATTCTGGATGATATTTCACAGGATCCACACGAGTGCCAGCCAAACAGTTACGCTACTTACTTCCCACATTTGAAGGAAGGCTGCCGAACATAGAGCCAGAGAAGCAAGCATCCATGTAGAACACCAGCTTGTTATACTTTTTCTTTGAACGCAGGTGAGCGAAGATATTGTTCAATTCCACGACAGTGAGCTGTGACAAGGCATAGAAAAAAATGAAAACTCCTGTGAACTCGAACGAATATACCTGAACGAGTATTGGGTTTTTGGAAATACGTTCCACTACGATCAGGTAAAAGACTATGTTTGGATGTTTTGTTTAGTCCTGCAGAAGTTAAAATTGATTACCCGGTTTATTGTCTTTGTTTTCTTGGAATACCTGTTCTCTGTAGTGTTAGCCAGCTCTCTTAGTGATATTCACTAGACCTACTTTGGAAAAGGCACGCAAGGATTAATGTAGGATTGAATGTGCTTGCAATAACGAGTCCGGAATAATGAGTTGGCAATTTGATCGACTGATTTTCATACCACTCCGGGTGTCGATTTCTTTGCTGTTTTTAACCATCTCCACCTCCCGTCCGCCATGATGGACTATATATGTTTAGTTGCATATTAAGAATGACCACAACGATCAAAATGCACATGAATACGCCCAATACAAAGGGTCCCTAATGGGGAGAATGTACCCTTGATACAAGGAATTGCAGGGAAGACTTTTGCTGCTGGTTGAAATGGCGTCCCGCAAGCCCGGCCAATCTGTGGAGAGAATTCTAGGCCTAATCGTGTTTACGAACATTTAGGGGGATTTCCAGTGAATTGAAAAAATCCACCAAGTGCGGATAAATCAGGCTATCGGTTGGCCGTCCGTGACCGAATGTTTAAAGTTTACAACTACAAAGCGAACCACTGATGATTCTTAATAAAGTTAGAACCGTTGTACGTTGCCTCTCGACATTCCATCACAGACTGCATTTTCATACATAGGATACAAAACCCTATTCATACCACCAAAGATTCGCGCTGACTCTAGAAAAGTTAAAGATGAGCACATTGTGTTCGTATCATCTACGCCTCATGAGTGACCATATACGACCAGCTTCTTTGCTTATCGTACCTAGGCTTGCACAACAGTCAAAACGGATCAACCAGGAAATCATGTAAGTTGAACGACCTTGATCTTAGTGAAACGAAATCTATATAATGTTATCAATATAGCACCTTGACGAGACCAGATGTAACTACAAAGTCTGTTTTATGAGAAACGACGTGTGGCACTGCACCTCCTCACTCCGTCCCAATTTAGCCTCTTGTTGAAACACTGTGTGCTCTAACTGTGGCTACCAAAATTATCAAAACTTACTTCTTCATCTGGAAAGATAATATAGTAACGCGAACCATGACCAGTGTAATAGATGAAAACGTTGTCATCAGGACCGCTGGAATTGAACGGGAATGTTAAGATGGTCTTGGAGAGTAGCTTATCGGGTGGTACTCTCGCGCATAGGAGAGCACAAAAAAGCCGCGGAAATGGAATTTCGATCGTAATATTCCCCAAAAATATGGGTTTCGTCATGAGTTGCAGAAGTCCCATTGTAACGTAGACGGTCTTGTCTAACTGGTGATTGAAGTGATCAGAAGGGTTCTATAATACATTTCTGTCCATGACACACGATTATGGTGTGTGGAAAAATATGTTCAACGTTAAGTCATTTATCCGCATAATTCTGGTACGACTTATCCGTTGGGCACCTAACGCGAATGAAGTGAATGGATACCGGACACGCAGGTCAGAATATTGTTTGGTACACGCTACGGGATATAATCGGTAGCTAAATTAACTTCCATTAGTGTGCTTTTTGCATGGCCAAATGAATGTGGGAACGAAAAATGGATTTTCCGGACGCCTGTTGATTTGGTGTTGAATCATATGATATGGTTGCTCCTTTGACTAGTTTTACTATTTTGTCATTCGAACGGTGACACTCGGCTCTATGGAAATCACGCTATCGTTAGCATAATTAAATATGTTTATGAAAATGTCCCCATGGTGTATTCTCTACTGAGAAACAATATTATGATCAAGGTGAGACAAACCCATTTTTCGAAAACGGACATCTACGAAGCCATATGTTCCGTTTGTTGGTCTTTGAACAAGAGGATGCGCATCTGTTCTCTGATTCTGGTGATCGGTTTGCAAATGTTCCGCTACCGGCAGAAGTGACATCATGAGTGGATGATTGGGTCGGCAGTCCTTCCATGCCTACCTGATATTGTGTTAATCAAGAGAGTGCTCGTCAGTCCGCTGTATTCCCAGAATATGCCAATGACATATTCTGTCTATAATTGTAGTTGCTGCATATGATCTGCTTTCTCTGAACTCGAGTATTTTCTCTCTGTGGAACATCTCTTCATGGTCTGATTGCCGGTTACCGATTTCTGTTTTGTCACTGTCTCCTTCCCCACATCTGATCGTCTATCTGTCCGACTTCTGTTTTTAGTAGTGCATTTTGGTAGGCTCGTTCTGATTTCCGGTTTTGCTCTGGCTTGATTTTTCGGAGTTTTCCGTTGATAACACGGTTTTCATTTTGCGAATGACTTTATCGCCCTTGATTACCTTATTCAACATACTGCGTCCGGGAACTGTGAATCGGTTAACACGCACATATAACAGGTGATCACGGATTGCGCGGCAATTCCAAATCCATAGAGCATCTGTAAGCCGACGCTTCACTTCTCGTCATATGCAGGTTAAGAAGCCGTGCGAAGATTCTCAAAGGATAAACTGTGATGTTGCCAAACTACATTGAACCTAAGACAAAGCAGGTATTCTAGAAGCTGAGGCTATTATCAGTGAATGTCAATACGGATTTGAGGGACTACTATTCAACCAATCAAACGGACTGCAAGTGGATTTCGATTATCCAATATTCATGTTTAAGTAAAAAATGAGTAAAAACAAATCCTCAATCCGAGCAAACCAAGATCGACCGACCACAAGTTGTACAAGACCGGGCAGATATCTGACCATTTACAAATGAGCATATCTGGATACGTTGAAACTTGTTAACAGTGGCGATTGATGGCAATAGGATAACAATAACCCATATTCTGGAATTGATAGACCGAGTTCCCCTTGGAGAGAAGCAAATCTTTTTGCCTGCCTTCTTGGAGCCTTATCTAAGGAGATTATGTAACACATGACTTACAAGAATGCGAAAAATGCGTTTCGCAAATACGCAAGTGCTGGCCTGCAACACTAGAATTCTGACTGTGATCAGGACGTGCATCAACAATGTCTACTTTCGCGCAAACTCACCTTTTCAACACCTTCTTCCCTTCTTTTTCAAGTTTCTTATCGCCTGTCAGTACTTTCGTGAAGATATATGGATTGACGTCCTGAAACAGATAAGCACGCCTAATCAAATATCTCTGTGACAATGGTGTTCTCCACAGTTATTCTAATCGTAATGGCCATCGATTTACAGTCTAGCACAGTAAGAGAAATCTAGGATCTACTCTCTTTATTCACTCAGATTATTAGTTTCACGACGATTATTCAGTGTTCATCGAATACTCTTTGCAAATGGCGAATCCGGGAGGCACCACGATTTCCGGAACTTTTTCGACGCATACATTTCATGAATGACGCTCTGTATCTGGTTTCCGACAGCTTGGAATGTTCAGAACAAAAACTAAGCTGTGAAAACACACTAATTACACTGACCTTATGACAAGTGTTTGTTCAAATAAATTCACCGTTCTATATTGTAGTAACACTGGTAAGTCTGCTCTACGTTTACTACTGTGCTTTTATACCCAGTGTCATGTTAATTGCGCCTTGCATTACACAGCGAACAACTTCATTTAATTACTGCGCACGGACATACTTTTCCACGGTAGTCAATTACCACACCCTTGTAAAAATCCTCGTGCTCGTAGTCATTGAACACTTGGCCTTTGAACGGATTCCTGGAATAAAAGAATGTAAACTGGCGGTGCGGTTCTTTTGAAATTAAGGTGAATGTTAAAAAGAAGGTAATAGCATGGGTAGAACTTGCAAACGTGTGGAGAGCGGTCTTAGATCAGCCGAGGTGACCCCGGTGGGTACACAAGATAAAACATTACAACTTTTGTGGGAAAAAAAATTTATGTGGATATACAGCTAAACATATCTAGCACCATACTATGTGAGCATATCCTCACTCAGTGCCGTTGAATATAATTCGATTATTACAAACTCAATAGAAGGTTTCCTGTACTCATTCCAGGAATCGGCTGTATTACAACATGTTAAGTGTACTTGGTTGGTCGCTTGATAACCTGCTCAAAATCATCAGCTGGCTAATGCCCTCAAACGATTGTAGACGATGCAGACTTCCGACAATCTAATGCAAGTTAAAATTTGCTGTTAACAGCGAAGAATTACCACGATCATTGCAATTTGATCTGGCATCAATTGTGTTGTTTGTATCAGGGTTACATGGAGTTTGGTGACATGAAATGTCATGAAAGTGTGGAAATTTTTGGTACATCTGTAGTGACGCACGAGAACACAGTTTACTACCACGCGAAACCATTCATGACATATATCCGTGAAATTTGCGGCTATGAAATGGGACAACTGAAAGCCAAATAGAGAAATGCAATTTCAGTCTAATTACTACCAGATGACAAGCATTTTACGAGATATTTACTTCGGATTGTTTGCAATATCGTCGTAGGCAATGGGAATTATATTCTCCGCTGGAATTTTGTTTGCACGCAGGACGTGATAGGCGTGATAAACCTTCGCCTGAAGGAAAATAAAAATTACAGGTGAGTTAGAGATAACAGGTAAAATTGGGGCACAGATGCATAAAAAAGAAATCAGGGTGCATAGGTTCATGCATATGTGCAAAAAACATTTGGATGCATTATCCAAGCCCAACTAACTTGTCAGATATTTAGCTGTTGCGGGGCTGAAATACATTGTTTGGAATTTTCAATCGTGATTTTATCCCTTATCTGAGGCCAGGCTCTGCCAGAACGTCCAGGTTCAGTATGCAAACGATGCACCTTTATTGAGATTTATCTGTAGTGCGAACTTCATGCTTCTCCGGAAATTCCTGAACCCGCTACTTCCAGGCAGTCACTTGGAGCCTCAGCCAATTAACCACGAGCAGCTGATTATATTGCGCCGAACAACATTTGAGAAGGCGGTTTGATGGGATTTCTCCAAGTAACGAAAACCACTGAAATCGTCGTAGGTGTGGTAAATCCAAACTTATTGTCAATGCTGTTGCGCTGCATTTGGTTTATTCGTTTCTTCGGACACATATCACATGATATGTTATCACATCAGCCCCCACGGAATACTTTCAGAATAACCTGCCAAAGCTGTTCTCAATACGCCATTGTGAATAACAAATGAAATGTGTAAAATTCTGAATAAAATGACGTAAATTCAGTGCCAAAATTTATAGCGAAAGTGCACAGTTGATAGTTCCGGAAGCTATTTCCTCAAATGTTTGAAAGTGTTGCACATCAACGTTGGGATAGCCTTCATAGTTGTCAGTCGCCAACACCATCCAATGTCATCAGGAACAGTTGTTCATCCGGGTGAGAAAAGAATCAAACGAAATTTTTCATCACACCAATGTGTTTTCTCATAAAAATGAAATATTGATAATTGTTTGTCATGAGATTTTGCGTCGGGTTTCAGGATATCCTTCAGCCTCATCACCTGATCCATGTTAAGTCATACTAGACTGCACAAAGCTCCCTGCTTGTGCTGTTCCTTCTACAGGTTTTCTCGAATGGATCTGTGCCCTGGCGCCTCGTTGACTAACTGACGGATGTTGGTCATTTCTTAACCAACTTTCTCACTACAATCATCCAAATGACCACGGATGACACCCTAGGTCTTAAAAGAAGCCTTATCTACAACCCGCCTAGATCAAACGAACTCCTGAAAGAACCTCAACTGGTGTTCCTCTTCGCATGTTGTCAGTATTGTCACTCGAACTAAAAATATGCTGTATCTTGGTCTTTCAGAAAGAGATTGGACTTCACAGAGACCCAACGGTTTGTGCGCCTCAACAACCCACCGAGCAAAGTGTGTGACACTCATAGAGCCTTTCATACCTCTGACTGCCTGCACAATCTACCACTAATTTGAAAATCCAACAGTACAACTAGCCTCTTGGGATAAAGGGCTTAATAGGAGACATCAAATGACCTTCTCTGTCTGTAACAGGGGATAGTACTAATCAGGCATGCGAGTAAACTGTGGTCTTTTCGAAGCTCCGCGCCGCGTCAAATTGAAGGTGAATTTTATTACGGAACTTCTAAAAATGCTTTAAGGTGTCCGTATACAATGACATAACTTTCAGTCACTTCAGAATCTTGATAATGTTGCTCCGCGCCCGTCAAATTGAAGGTGAATTTTATTACGGAACTTCTAAAAATGCTTTAAGGTGTCCGTATACAATGACATAACTTTCAGTCACTTCAGAATCTTGATAATGTTTAGTTTTCGGATGCTATGAGCAAATGATAATATTAACTCCTTAGTTGGTGTTTGTGAATAAAAAACTTCTCGGTGAAGGGCATTCCTCCTTACACTGGTGGTACCACAGCCTTATTCCAAGTATAGATTGCACGCCTACAATTGATTTCATGTCACATCGGCCGGGATTGATGTCATCAACCAGGTTCTCTTGTCTCCTGTATACCGTAGAGTGATCAAGCAAAACGACTGCAACTAAAGCATTCTCCCTTCTTTCTCATTCATATATCCGGTATTCTCACTTTCCTCAACCCGTGGTAGTGACATCCACGTAGGCACACAATTAATATCTGAGGGATCCATTTGCCTCCCATTGCCGGTAACTGCAATATCCGCGGTCAATTTGGTCTCCACAGCCTTAGACGCTCAGAAATTATTCTCGAGTTCGTCCGTCAATCTTTAATGTTTGCGCTCTAGAACAGGCTGCGCAGCATCCTTGTTCGCTGTTCTGATCTCTTCATGGGTTTCCGCTGGCCCCCAATTGCTCTACCCTGGTGATCCGGGAGCGGCTGCTGCTTGTTCTACTGGGGCTGTTATTGTTCTAGGTTACCGAACTGGAGGCTGTCTCATTGGAGAATGACCAGGAAAAAAGCCCAAATATTATTGTGGTTGTCGAAGTCATGAATGCACAAGTAGGCATATTTACCACTTCCGCGACTCTTTTGGGTGGGTGCAGAACAGGAGTTGAAATGCACGGAACACGGCAGACGCCTGAAATAGTTATGTTTTGAAGACGGGCGGAAGTAACTTCCGGAACAAGCGAAGCCGCTCCGTCATATGGCGCTCCTTTAGAAAAGCCCAACCGGCAGCACAGACAGACCACATCAATATTAGCTATGTGTGGCGTGGCTCGTTCTAAAAAACCAATGTAAATCCGAACCAAACGCTTTTTCGTCGCTGATTTATGTTGCACGATTGCTGTACTAGAATGATTAAACACATCTCAGCTGACCATCGGAAAGCCTTCCAAACCTAATTTTAAACAATCCCACCAGAACTACTATTGACGACCCTCCCGGACACGGCGACTTCTGACGTTAACTTCTTATGAAAAGTGTTGTCTCCAAGGTGCTGAGCACCACGCTTGTTGAATGGCGTAACAAACTGAATGCAAGTACTGGATCCCGGCCAACCCTCTAAATTCCTTCGAAACTTGGACAAATTATCTTCAAAGTAGCGAATACAATATCACGCAGCAGACAGTGAGACTTCTAACAAGAAAACAACACCTGTGTGGGTTGAGAATCTTTGGGGACTGAAGAGGTCGAGGAAGCAAAAACATTGGGTTATGGTTTCTCTATGCCAGCTAGTACGAGCGATAGGCCCAAAGAGGCCTTCCATGAGCCAAGCAAACACTAATATACATTACCATTCATTAGATTAAGCATTTCCAGCAGCTTCTCAACTGAAAATCAGGACACTGAATGTGGAATCTCCGAAGGCTTTAGAAATAATCAGTTGCGTGTTCTACTTCAAGAGTTATCAAACTGCTGGTCCCGACCAACTCGAACTCACTTCGATTACAAATGGCGTTGAAATACATTGTCGTTGTTTGTCTAGCTGATTTGATTTTCTTGGACGAAGAAACAGTCTAAACAAGGTGAGTTGGCTCGATGAGGCCCTAAGTGAGTGCATTTGTCACCGAGGAATTAGCTTGACGTCCGTTGTGACGAGAATGTTTCCTGAATCTTATTATTGGATGCAGACACGTTCAATATGCGTTACCGTTTTGCATCTCATATAACCCCATGCAAATAGGGCACTAACGAATCGTGAATTTGATCATATGTTTATTTCAATTAAAAACTACTTGATCTTTCCAACTAGGGTAGAATTATTTCCTCATATTGTGTAGCAATTCCGGTGCTCTTGAAATTAAGGTGTTTGGCGTAACAACTGATGTCGCTGCAACGTGAATTGTCTTTATTGAGATTTCTGAGACCTGGTTTCTTAGTCAGGTCACTCTAATTTACGGCAATGCTACAGAGCAAGGTTAGATAATATGTGTGGTGGCCTGAAGGTCATCTAATTTCTAGGATTTTCTTATTCTGTGCAGAAACATACTTCCTCCTGTTAGGCGGTGAGTTCAATTAACAACGCAACATAAAACACATGTTGCTAACGATGTTGGTCTCCGATTAAGGTGACGAACCGTATGCAGCTCGGTAACATCTTAGTTGGATAGGTCCGGATAACCGACCCCACACAAAGCTAAATATCGTAGCACGACAAGAAAATACTGTAGAAAATACACATAGGTCACCAAATGTGTGTCCATTAGTTGTCAGGAATCCGCCATGGAGGGTATCTGTTTGGGGTACCAATAGTGCAAATATCCTCTTTGAAAACCCTTTCGTGTGGTATTTAGAAAAAAGTGTTTTCAGCATCAAATCAATGAAAAATCAACGGAAACCTACTTGGTGCCGATAATTTTCCCAGGTGTTTGAACCAGCGACAAGGACGGCCCAGTTCTTTGATGGCTGGTTGTTAAATATGGATGACAAATTGTGGAAATTCGCGGCTTCCAACCATGCAAAATGGACGATGCAGAATAATAACGTAAAAAGAAGTGAACAACGACGCACCATATCCAGACTTACTTGAAGCTTCATCTGTCTGGAATTTTATACTGCGCTCTTGCTGTGAAACGAACTTTGACTTACACATGCATGGCGATGGTGTGAAAAACCTATCCACCACAAATCTAATAGCACTGCGGTACGAAGATTTTGCTAACCACTGTATCATCGGCAAACTTGATCAGCTCGTTCAATGGCTGTTTATTTGCGCAAGTTTTTTCAACAATGTGTGCACATTGGTGATTCGTAGAGTTTTCTAGGACAAATGTGGATCATTTCATTGAGCGCCTGTGTTCTTCAGACAGTATTGAGCAGTAAACGGAGTCTGTAAATTGGTGACGCGTAGCGGCTGGCTTCTGAAAATTTTTGTCCGAGGGCGACATCAATACGGTTTCTAGTATTAATAGGTCATAGTGTAAATGTGTATTCAGGAAATTGGTTTCCGCAGTGCGTCAAGATAAGGCTTGACAAACTGATTGGACTCAGAATGAAAAATCCTCAAAGCTCGGCATTTATTCACTGCATAAATGGTCGAGCACCTATGTGCTTCATACAGTCCTGAGCAGTAAACTGAGTCCTCAAAACGGTTTCACGTAGCACCTGGCTTCATATGGACATTCACTAATAGCTTTGGTCCATGGGGTTACTGATACGGTTTTTTGCATTAAAAAACTTTCTGCACATTTTTTGTTTGCAGCATGACAGCTTAAAATTTGACATAGTTTTAACATCTCAAATGCTAGGTGTTTACTCACTGCGAAGATCGATGGTATGATAAGGCTTCTGGTTGACATAAGTCGGTGAAAACGAAGATCACACGTAGCTTTGATCCAAGCAATTTACCTTTCTCTATGGTTTTAGGTTACATTAAATTAAAAGTACCTGAAAGTAGAATCATTGGATAGGCTCTCTCAAACCAGAAGAATGTTGCTCGGATATTTCACTCATTTCCGTAATCTTCATTTTCAATTTTAGGGATCGCGGGTGCGCGTAGCAAGATTTCCTTTAATATTTTGATCAGTAACCAATGATAAGACCTTGCCAGCCATTCAAACTGAAATTATGTGAAAGATCTAATACAACTTCTTGTTTTGATGAAAGTACGCTTTAGCATTTAGAACGCCTACCTGCATATGGTGGACACTTTGAATTGTGGGTGTTTGAAATGTGACTTAAACATATGTGCGCTGATTTTTATGACTTCGTGTAAGAAGTGTACTCATCAGTTCGCAGTGGAATATTCACTTACGCTCACACATCCAATAACACAAGCTCTAAAGTTGGAGGTAATTCACTGAAATTCAAAGTGATAAAACAGCAGTTTTCATATTGAGAACATAATGATTATAGTAATAATTCAGCCGCAGCACCCTTTTGGTATGCATACAACATGTTGCCCGAGGGAAGAACAAGGGCTGAGCGATCGCCGGGTCGCCCAAACCTGGACAGGGATAGTCGACATGCCGAGGCTGGATTCGAAATACGGTCAGTGATTTCTAACCCTAATTACTGAATGATGATCCTGAGTTCCTAAGCTCCCTTTGACGTCCGAAAGCAATTTCCTACGGATAAAGTTTAACCTACCTGGACAGGATAGTCGACATGCCGAGGCTGGATTCGAAATACGGTCAGTGATTTCTAACCCTAATTACTGAATGATGATCCTGAGTTCCTAAGCTCCCTTTGACGTCCGAAAGCAATTTCCTACGGATAAAGTTTAACCTTGGTCCGAATGTTTCGTTTGCTAGGTGAAATATTAATACATGTCCATAACCACACGAATTGTTAATGATTTTCTCATGTTCCCATTGTGTACAATGGCTTTGTTTATTTATTCCTTCCACCTTGTGCACAAGTCCGCTAAGCTTGTTATTGATTTAACCATTAACCAGTATTTGATATACACCAAACGGAAAACCAAAACCTACTGGTCGTCGTGGCACATCATCGTCACCAAAATCACCATTATCATCACAATCGTTGTGCTGATTGGCGGCAGTTTGATATCAGTGTTGAATGCTGATGCATAGATGTGGTATTAGGCGATGAAATGACTTGGTGCTAGATCGCCACAATCATTCATAATACCCACATCTCCAAGTATTGTTTCAGGCAAATTGGAGACGGACTGACAACGAAAAACCGAGTGACATCAATTGACAGCCATATCCAGCAGCGTTTCCAAATTGAGTTAGTTTCAAAAATGAGCTTACGAATGTGCGAGTGCTGCGAGAGGATTTGCACAAAAGTTTGTTTGTTCAAGCAAGCGTATCTCGCAAATCTGGATATGTATCTACAAGACTATCGTGGACACAGCTCACCCGGTAATTAGTTCCTCCGAGTTTTTCATGTGTCATTGTTCAAGCATCGCATCTTCTGTCGAAGCCTTGAGCTGCGAAAATCATCGGTGTTCTATTACTGAGTAGCCGAAATAGGATGTTTTTTCGTCCGCATATGCACTTAAGTCCACGCTAAACTGCATACCACCTTAATTTCTTCAGTGAAAATTTAAGAGGGGATCTCTCATGATATCCATTGAATTCTGACGTTGAAGGTCATCATTCCTTCTCCAGGCTAGCTGAAAATGTGCTTTTGTTCTCAATTTTCGGTCGGTTTTTTTCTAAAAATATCTTGTTACGACGTGGCAACACGAGAGAAAACAAACTTACATGTGAACTCTTACTGTTATTTGTGCATTTCACCCTCCTTAAGTGGCGTGAGCAGATCACTCTACTTTGCACCATCTGACGTCATCCTCTATCTCCTGCCCCATATATCATACAGTGGTTCGACAGCGAACCGGTAGACAAAGTTCATTGACTTGACGAAACTCTGTGACCATGGACATGCTTTTGTTTGGTGATGGGACTTCTTCCAACCAAAGTCCACATTTATGCTACTAGCAAAACCATCCGCCTAAAGTTCATTTTTGCCTCATTCTTTCACCCACTTAGAAAACTCAGGAGTCAAAGTCTTATTCTTCAACCATATACTCACTATACACCCTCATGATTGAAAAGCATAGCCTTCACTCAATTAATGATTTATTTATTTGTTTTTGTCAGAAGAGACTGTGTGCTCTGCTGAGATTAATGAAGCACCATGAGGGTATTCACAATTCAGGATAAGCCAGATTTATGCAATTCGTGAGTGGAAGTTGGGTTCTCACAGACAGACGTGTCTTTTTACCGAAACTAACTGTAACGTTTTGGTTTAACATTTCACCTCTTTCTGGATTATATATCGCTCCATTATCTTTTCCAGTTTCTTTGTTTATGTCAGTTCGACGATAATAGGTGTATGAGAGGCAGAGATAGGTTTTTGAAATACCAGCCAAGAGGTCGAGTTTTCTTTTCCTGTGATTGACAGTTCTAGTGAACCTTAGAGATGGTGGGATAGATGTACAGTGCTTTCTGCTTCCACTTACCAGACGCAATGTAGATGAGCATTCGCCGAATTCTTCTCTTGTTGTCAAGGGTAGGAAGATTTTCCGTGCACCTCCGAGTTCACTGGATCTTGTGATTTGCTGACTTTGAAACGCATGCGTAATCTCAAGCTATATTGCGATAGACGTAGTTCATACGCAAATCTATGACAGCCTGATCATCTTTTTCTAATTCTAGACACGCATGTAGGCAAAGCGACATACTCCAATTCTCAGAGAATGTATCAACCTACCGTATGTTTTTTTTCATGATATACCTGTCAGATATGGCCACTGAGAGTCTTCGAACCTTGATCAAAAACTGCCATCCCAGCTGATGTAAACTGGTGTCTGTAAATTTAAAAGGTCAGAGCAAGAAACGGGAACCCCATTCGAGGCAAGTATGACGGTATGAAAGAGACTTCGGGAACTCTGTGCATGCCCGTGTGAATCTCCATTTAGGATAAAGCAAACTTCTCTCCTAGGAGCACTGATCTAGCTTAATTTTTTTATACCCACCAATGTAGATCTGAAAATAATGAAATAAAATGGGCTGAACCAAATGACATCCCAGACCAAATATTCAAATCGCACCTATTATTACCTGTTCACACAGGGTACGAAGTCCATATTGATTTAGTTGACTATTCGATACTTAGGACTCATCATATTCACAAAAGAATAAATCGACAAAACAAAAACGTACAAAATTAGAATTTCCTGCTGATAAATGGCCGAAAAACTTCCTCGAGCGAATTAGGAGCATTTCATTTTCGATAACAGGAAACTGATGTTTATGGGGTTTCTAAATCATTTCAGAAGGAGCTCAACCGCTTCGTTCAATCATTCATTGGAGGACGCCTAGATACTGGATGAGTCGACAGCTTCATCCTGAATGCAACAACCTAGCACCTACCAAGGCACACAGATTGCCAAGGTCTGAGTGAGTGGTTTGTTATGCGACGGTATTTAGTCAGTTAAAAGCGCATTGCATGTAAAACGGGTTGGTTTGACAATGTTGCGATAGCGGCTTACAGGCATGCCTTCCATCACATGCAGGGCTTGTGAGCAGCTTGGCAAACATCTAGCACACGAGTAAAATTGAAGTATTGTTCGAAGGTATCCATTAGATAGGATTAGAATTGTGCGATATGGAGGTAATTTTTATCGAGGGTTATGCAGATTCGGTATCCAGTGTTAGACTCTTATCTGATTCGGACACTCTTCAGGTGGGATTTTCAACCCGTAGAGAGGTTGCATAACTATATCATTGTGGATGCCGCCCCATATTGGCTGATATCCCGAGAAATATTTAGAATCTTTTTTGGAGGCTTCTTGGAATTATGTGTTGTTTGTGCGCAACAGCTGACAATCATCGTCAAGCTGTTTCCTTCTTACTGCGAATCTTCACCAGTGTGCATCTCTCGAAACTCCAAGCAGTTTCGAACGGAACTCGTGACGCCCCGGCTAGCGGTTTCAGCGCCTAACTTATGGTCCGTCAGCGATATGATTGGCTATCGCTGGCGCAGAACTAAGCGGCATGGTTACAGACAACTGGACGGGAAAGTGAAACTCTCTCATGCACCTTGTTTTGAAATACAGAATATCCATTATCTACTTGAACGCGTCATCTCGAACTTTCCTGCACATTCACTGACTATCACCCAACTGCAACGAATGCTGTGAAGTAGTTCAACAAATCCCAAAATAAACCACATTCCATTAGATCAATGCGGAGTTACAAGAAAACCACGTACTATTGGCATTGTGTACCCACTGTTACACACCGAGCATTTAATGTCGCTTCCATATAACCGATTTCTACTTACCTCCGTTAGGTCAGCCCCAGTTGCTAGTCTTTTCGGCAGATCATTGGATGTATCATGCCAAGCTAAGTCCCGCTTACTCTTTGCTATCCCTGTTCAGCTTTAACTGTTAAGGCGTTCTCACCAGTATTTCTAAAAATCCAGATGTACCTTTGTACATTGTGCGAATTCCTCGAAAATTGTGAAATATTAGAGGCGTGGTTGTCGATACGGCCCTAATTGGTTACTCCGAGAAATCATTCAGACACTGGAGATATCGTCCGCATCAAAGAAAGGATGATCTTTAGGAAGCGCATGGATAATCGCAAAGACGGCTGAGATAATAAATTGATTTAGGAGAAGCATCGCTGCACTTGTTTCCTGGCTCCGTTGACTGGGAACTACACTGCAAATCACTCAATCCTCTCTCTTGTCATTGCAGTTGTTCTCTAAGGTTGTGACCAGCCGCCCCATCTTGTTCCTGGCACTTGTCAACAAATTTCAATTTCTGCTCAAAAGTGATACAAAAATTCACAATTTCTTGTCAATGGTGAATTTGCTTTCCCATCATTACTTTTAGTGCCTACAAAGTTTTTGGCATCAGTGGACATTCAGTACGACTTTCGTAAATGGCTGTTCGACCGGGTGAAGATCAGGTCACCCTACTTTTTGCGCATCACGACATTGCTGAAGGAGTTCGTGTAATAAAAATAGAAATAAAGGTCAATTACTCAGGTGTAGTACCGTGACACTCAAGAGAGGCACGAGAATTGAGATACCGTCCAATTCTAGAGCAGTCGAAATGTCAGGGTTTGAATCTCAACGCGGACCCCCCATTAGTGGGTTCGCGCCCTGACCACTGGGCTATCTCGAGTTCTGCAGTGACAACGCTTTCACTCCAATAGGGATGATCTGATAGTTCTTCTGTGATCTTATCTGTGAATATTAAAACCTGGGAGTAAACTGGGGGGTGTAACTCGCTTCTGTCATTTTCGTGGCCCGACTGGTAGGGGCAAAATATGAGATTTCAAGTACTTTGCTTCTTCCTTAATCTTGGGTGTAATCTGTTGAATGCCGAAGCGGATCATTAACATTAGCGAGCATACAGCCTTAGGAAACAAATCGGCAATTCACATTCTGCTTATCCAAGGAATTTCGATTGGGCCACCTATCATATTCTTGCATGCGTTGTTCTAGCCATTCTCTGGTGCTGCAACAGTCACAAAATTTATATTTGTGACATAAATAACACCACGAATAATTTACGCACCGAGAGGAACGAACCAACTAACCTTTGGACACAATGCCTAAATGTGTTTAATTTACAATCATTCGGAAGAGACCAGTATACACGAGAAATTTATCTGGATTCATT